CTTTTTCTTTTACTTTGTATCTATGTGAGGTGATGGATGTTCACTAAACTGACTGTGGTGATCATTTCATGATGTATGTAAGTCAGATCACGATACTGTACACCTTAAACAGTGCTATATGTCAATTATATCTCAATAAAACTGGAAGAAGAAGAAAAATGCTGGTGATGGGGAGAGGCCACAACAGTGAGAGGCCCGCGTACCGAAAAAAAAAAAAAAAAAAAAATTCACTTATCTGGACACCTTAAAGGCCATACAGACCAGTCCTCTCATTTTAGACACGCGAGCACTGGTCACGTTGTATATTTTCCACGCTCACCATGCACAGACCACGTTGGGCACCTGGGAGACCTCCACATGAATGTTTGTTGCTAGATGAAGGGACTTGGGAAGACCTCATAAAGAAATGAAACTTAATCTTATGGTGGGAACAAATGTCACCATTTGGCCACATTTAACAGACTTCACCCACCTCACTACTTTGCCCAGACCCAGTCTGGCTGTCCATTTCTAACTTGATATCTCTCAAAGAATGGTTTGCTAGCCCACCTTCCTAGAGAGACCTTCAGGGGGTTCAAGTTCTGAGCTTAAAAGAAAGTTACTCAAAAATAGGTGCTCAGGATTCATCAAGTATTCTCAGCTGTAAAATTGATTCTACGTCATCAGACCAAAAGAAGAGTCCTTTTTAAAAGGATACTTAATCCAAAGTCAACTCTAACTTAGAGTAGATGGCAAATTAAGTCCCTAATGTGAAGATAAAAGATGCAAGACAAACTTAAAAGTAGCTCTAACTGTGCCATTTTTACCCAGAAAGAATACAGTATCCTCCATCTCTGCCCAATAACTGCCTTGCTTACTTCCCCTGCTTTATTGCTCCCTAGCACTTATTACATGTGACATGTTATATTTGCTTGTTTATTCAATCATGGCTCAACTTCCCTCACTGGAATGTAAGTTCCATGAGGGCTCAGACCTCGTCTCTTAATTCACTGATGTATGCCCAAGGCCGGGAACAGTTCCTGTCACATAATTGGTTCACAGTACATATTTTCTCAATAGATGAGAGAATGAATAAAATAAATTTGGGCAAAGAGAGGAGCAGTCACATGATGTGGATAAGAGAGTAGAATATGTGGCTGCCTTTTGCCTAAAAGAGTTGCCCCTATGTCCACTAGCCATCAAGAATATCTCTATCACCTCATACCAGTCAGAAGGGCCGTCATCAAAAAATCTACAAACAATAAATGCTGGAGAGGGTGTGGAGAAAAGGGAACCCCCAAACAGTGTTGGTGGGAATGTAAATTGATACAGCCACTATGGAGAACAGTATGGAGGTTCCTAAAAAATTTAAAAATAGAACTACTATACAATCTAGAAACGTCACTTCTGGTATTTATCCAAAGAATTCAAAACACTAACTCAAAAAGATATATGCACCACGATGTTCATCACAGCATTGTTTATATTAGCCAAGGTATGGAAGCAACCTCAGTGCCCATCAATGGAGGAGTGGATAAAGAAGATGTGGCATATATATATATATATATATATATATATATATATATATATATATACACACACACACACACACACACACACACACACATATACACACACAGACACACACACTGGAATATTAGCCATAAAAAAGAATGAAATCTTGCCATTTGCAACAATGTGGATGGACCTTAAGAGTATTATGCTAAGTGAAATAATAAGAGAAGGCAAATACCACATGATTTCATTCATATGTGGTATATAAAAAAACAAACAAACAAAAATAAACAAAGCAAAACATGTAGATACAGAGAACAGAGTATAGGTATCAGAGGGGGAGGGGCAGGCGGCGAAATGGGTAAAGGAGTCAACTGTACGGTGATGGATGGAAACTAAACTTTTGGTGGTGAGCACCCTGTAGTGTATACAGAAGTAGAAATATAATGTTGTACACATGAAACATATAATGTTATAAACAAGTGTTACCTTTATAAAATAAATTTTTTTAAAAAGAATGTCTCTCTTGCTTCTCTGCTCTGATTCCATCATCACCAAGAAACCTTTGATTTAAATCTTTCTGTGTGCATTTTCCTACAGATGGGATCACAATTTTGGTTTACTTGGCACAATATTTTTCACTGTAAATTAACAGGTTGGCATTTTGTCTTTTAAAATTGGTTCACATCACACCTAAAAGAATTCTGAGAAGGATCTCAACCAGGATGAAAAACTGTGGTGAAAAGAGCGAAGACTGGCACACAGGGCAATTGGGTTCTAGTGCTAACTCTCTTTTTGACTCACCTGTGTGGCCTTAAAAAATTTCACTTTTCTCGGGCTTCCCTGGTGGTGCAGTGGTTGAGAGTCTGCCTGCCGATGCAGGGGACACGGGTTCGTGCCCCCGTCTGGTAAGATCCCACATGCCGCGGAGCGGCTAGGCCCGTGAGCCATGGCCGCTGAGCCTGCGCGTCCGGAGCCTGGGCTCCACAACGGGAGAGGCCACAACAGTGAGAGGCCCGCGTACCGAAAAAAAAAAAAAAAAAAAAAAAAAATTCACTTATCTGGACTTCAGTTTCCCCATAGAGGCATTGAACTTGATAACTTCTGAGTTCCTTCCATCTTTCAAAGTAGGGTTTTATAAAAATTAATACAGTAGGCTTTTCCATGTATTTTGACTTCCTAAAAGGGGTGTTAACTGGTGTCACGTCACTGTCTATTGGCAGCATAGTATGATTCACATGGATCATGGGGTCAGCACTTTTCCTGGGGTCAGTCATCATTGCCAGGAAAAGGCAGTCAGAATCCTTGTTAAAAATCTAAAATGCCAGTGGTGACACTCCCTAAGGAAAATGGAGATCACACAGCAATTCTTTCACATTTAAAATTGTACAGGTGTGTGGGTGTGGGGAGGTGGAAGGAAGTACGAGAGGGAAGGAAAGGCAAGGCAGACGGCAGAGGATGTCTAGGTGATGGGAAGGCAGGTGCCAAGTATGGGTTTGGAGAGTCACATTTTTCCATTAGAGCCTGGCAGATGCTTAAGCTTGACCAATGAGAATTGCCCACGAACTTTTAGTAGATACATGTAACTATTTCCATTTTGAGCTGTGTCACTGTGAGGGAGGGTAAGAGCTGAGTGTCCCATAAATGTATCTTCCTTGGAGACTTTTGTTATCAATTCACCTAGGCTGCCCTAGCCTGCTCTCACTGGAACCCTTCCAGTGTTCATTATTTGGCCTTCTTTGAGATCTTAACTGCCTGTGTGTGATACAGTTATTGGGCTATCTCTTAAATGTCTACTTTCAGATCAGACTTCTCACCTGAATGCTAGTCTTATACGATTGCTACCTACAAATTAGTACCACTTAGATATCATCCCTTTAAACATAACATGTCGAAAGCAAACTTAGTGTGACCCCCTTCCCAACTCATTCTGTTTCTATCACTGACATCTCCAATCCCATTCTGAGGCTTACATTTGAAGTTATTTTTCATTCCTCACAACTCCTTTATCAATAATCATCCACAACTTCTATAAATAGCAATAACACACTCAGCAATCTACCCACTGCTTAATAAATGTTCACCATTCTGTTATGTGTATTATGATCTGAAGTGATCTGCTCAGTCACCCAAGACTGTTGAGGCTTCTCACAGAGGCTCTTACATTCGTCTCCTTTCTCTCACCTTCACAGTAATCCATGTTCCCATCCCCTGTTGCCTAAACTCCCAGAGTATCTTTCTTATCGGCCTCCAAATCTCTAATTTTTCCCTGCTTCAGTCCATCTAAAATAAATGCACAGACTGATCTTTTTGAAACCACTTTCATCACGTTATAGTTGGCCTACAAACCTATGATGGTTTCTGTTTATGAATCAGAGTGTTTACAAACTCCCTGTACAGCATTAAGAGCTTTGGGCAGCTGCTCCCTCTTCCCCAAGCTACCCGAGATCTGTATGTCTTTATTTGACTCAAATTTGTTTGAGCATCAACTATGTGCCAGCCATACTCTCTATCACCCACTACCCTCCAGCATCCCCTCTCTTCTCCAGTTAAGCCCAGTGTGATGCTCCCCTGCCACCACCACAGTGATACCTGCCATTTGGACTTTGCTCCTATTCTTGCCCTGCCAGGAGTCTCCCCCTTTCTGCCAATAAAAATCTGATAGCTCTTCCAAGATGCACCTTCTCCTGAAGGTTTCCCATATGAATGAATCCCAGACCACAACAACCTTTCCCTTTTTCTGAATTCCCTCAGCATTCTCACACCAGATATCTATTGCTAAATATTGTCCTCTTATTATTTCACATGCATTTGTTGGTCTCCCCGATTGAAATGTGAGCTCTAGAAGGGCAGAGGCCAAATCTTCTATTCTTCGTTTACCCAGATCTGGAATGGAAAAGGGCAGATGCAAGGCCAGTAAAGACCTTGATTTTGCACATAGCTCATGGGCAAGGACCAGTGGGCACAGCGTAGGCAATAAAGACAAAAAATGTGCACTGAAGACCTAAGACTAGTTCCTGGCACAAGGTTAGAAGCTCAGCCATGTTCTGAGAAGTGTTTGTTAAATGCTGAATTAGATTTTCAGAGATAATACAAGTCCCTTACACACCATGTATTCCTCTAGCACAAAAATCTCTACTGAAGCACAGTGGCCAGTAAAATTTATGGGGTCTCAATCACTAATTAGATTTGAAATTCTTGAGTCTTCTTGGCCAGAATGATCAGTCCAGTGGGGACATCTCAGTTGTCTCTATGAGAAGTTGCCCCTACACCTGGCAACTACCTGAGTTAGCACCAGTTCATGCCCCTGAGCCAAAAGTTGTGTGACTCCAATACAAGCCAGATATCTGTAAGGAAACCTGTAAGCTCAGCCTCCCTCCTCCCCTCCCTCCAGCTACACGATGTCTTATGCAAACCTAGAACCCGGCCAGGTGATGTGCAGCCCCTTTCAGAAAGCAGAGAAGGTGCCCTTTGTAGAAGGGGTGCAGACAGAAAAATGGACTTACCCTCACATAGTAGTTCATGCCCATCCCCAACAGGTGCTGAAGAAAGTGCTTGTCCTGCCTGCTCCCGGGGGTTGGCTCCCCAGGGCCGGGAAGGGGGCAGGCATCAGGAGTTAAAGAGGTCGCCCTGTGCCCCAGGGCATCCCGCTGAGGCGGAGGTGCTGGCATGGCCCTATTCAGACTGGTTTCAGGGGAAGCCGGGCTGCTGGGAGCCGGGTCTTGGCTTTCCTGGAGCTTGAGTCGAGGTACCTCTTTGGTACCCAAGCAAAAGTTTTTCAGACTCAGCAAGGTGGCTGGGTTGGCCAGCTTTACGCTGGCCATGCGAGGGATCAAGGTGCACAGTGGGGTGGGGCTCTCCTGGGACGCCAAGGTGGCATCTTCAGCCGGCAGGTGAGGTGCCAGGGCTGGGTAGGGAGGCTGTGGCGAGCCCTTGTTCCCCCCCGAGCCTCCGGGGCTGCCTTCGTCCAAGGACGTGATGGACTCGTTCCGAAAGCGGCTATACTTGGCCCTGTGCAGCATCCCGGGGTGCCTGAAGAGTCCTACATACAGCACGAGTCCTGCCAGGCTGTCCGGACCGCGTTCTCGCATAGCCTTGGCAGTGCTGAAACAGGATACTGTTGCATAAATCGCCTCGTCGTCTGCTAGATAAACAGTGCGGAAAGCAAATGCCTCAACGCCCCGTGCAACTTGGCGGCTGCCACCTCTCCAACTCCGTTCTCGCCCTCGCCCTCGCCCGCTTGGGCTCCGGGTCCTCGAGGGTAACAGCCCAGGGGAAAACGCCTTCCCAGCTGATTTTAGTCCCTCCCTGGCCCAGCGGCGGCACCCGGTGTTCTCGCGTCGGGTTCCTTGCTGGGAAAGCCTGGACCCAGGCTCGCGGCGGCGCCGGCAACCGCTCACGGCCAACTCTTAGGCACGGAACGGGGCCGCGCGCCCGGCCAGCCGGTCCCGCCGCATCGCTGGCGGCGCGGGAGCCTTGCAGAAATATTTAACGCCCCCTACCCCCCAGCCTCCCCTTCTGCACACAGGAACTTTCAAACCTGCTCCCTCCGGTTCCCACAGGGCGGGGCAATGTCTGGCTCATTAACCCTTTACTTGTTCCAGTGATTGCTCATTTTTTAAAAAAGGAGCAAAGAAAATGTATATGTGGGCCAAAGGCCCTTGTGCCTGGGTTCGTTTCTTCTGATGGCTGCCCTCTCTTGGAAGATCTTGTCATGCATCCCTTCTGGGCCACAAGCCAGGAGTGCTAGTGACAGGCGCTGCTCCGCATTATTTCAGGGACTTGTGATCCCTCCGTGTTCTTCAGATCCCCTCCCAGCCTGCCCACCCTGGCTCCGAGCTTCCCTCCCTCCCCGACTCCCCTCAGAGCTTCTTTCAGGAGCCTATCTGCAACAGAAGGCTGAGATGTGCAGGATGATACGCAGAGTGTTGAAATTTTTATGAATGAACTTTGCTGAATGAATTTCTCTCTGTGTGTGCAAGCTAATAAATCAGTGAATGAAGCTGAGAATAGCTGTAATTGACTGATGGTCTCAGGGGTGCTTGGTTTTTATCCAATCAGGCGGCAGCTTGATGACTCATGCACCATAAATATACTAAACTAGTAGCCAGGAGAAATAAAGCTGGAGGGAGAGAAAGGAGAGATTTTATTTTGTGATATCTGAGGAAAGGGTTAAAGGGAAAGGCAATCTTTAGTGTAAATCATCTGCAAGCTGGGCAGCAGGTTAAAAGGTCCATTTTCTTTTTTGTTGAAATGACCGGGAAAGCCAAGCAGAAGAGCTAAAAATTAGACCCATTGTTCCACGGATATTAGGACATATGGTACACAACTCCTGGGGGAAGACATGATGCATTTTTCTTAGAAACATAGTTCTTTTTTTATTGATTGCTGGTTCCATCTCCCGTCTGGTGCAACTTCCTGTACCTATCAAATGCATTCTGAAGACATGATGACAACTGCAAGAGGCTTAGCACACAGGAAGCCAGGAAGGGAGCTGAGAAAGGGAAATGCAGGTTCTTTTAGGAATGGAGAAGAGGAAACTGCTGAAGCACTGAGAGGATGTGAAATCACATATCAGAAGAGACAAGAAAATCTCGGCTGAAGGTTACATTTCTTGGTGGGCCAAGGCTCGTGCATCTGAAACTGAACATTAATCCAAAAATCAAAACAAACCGGCAGCCACGGGAATCAGGGATGCCACCTTCACTGTCTTATTGCCCACAAGGCTGCATTAGGCTCATGTGTTTTTATGACTTTGGTGGCCTGAGTTCCCTTGAGATCCAAACACAGGTTCTGAATTAAACGGTTACTTGTAAGCAGCTGAAAAGGCATCCTTGCTGGCTTCCTCCTCCCCCACAGAAATTCTGCACCTTTTCACATCCCACCTCCCAAAACTGTTAGGATGGTTCTTCCCTGGGAAGGCCTTTTGTGCATCTTCATAAATCTTCCCGTCAATGCTCACTGACCTTCCCTCTCTGCCCTCACACCTCCTCCTGGCAAAACTGAAGAGTGGCTAAGCCAGCTGGACTCCACATCCCTGGGGCTGAGGAGACAGGCTCTGGGCAGGACTGTGAAGTAACCTTCCTCATTTTCTTTCCTCCCCACCTCTCTCCTTCTCTCACAAGGGTCCCTTCCTTGGTGTCACAGACCCCATGCTATGCTGCCTTGAGAAAGATCGTTTACCTCTCTGTGCCTGAACGTCCTCACCTGTTAGGAGCAGCCATCATCTAATGGAGATGTTATAAGGGCTCATGAGCTAATCCTAATCCCTGTAAGGCACTTGGCACCGTGCCCCACACATGGGGCATGCCTCACCAAGCACATGGCTGGCAGTGTAAAGAAAGGCCATTGGAACTTGGGCTGCCTGTCCCTGAAGCTGGCACTCTTACCCCCTACAGAGTAGAGCCTACACCATCCAAGGCAGCTAAAAAGAAAAATTAGCACAAAGTAGGAGAAGCTGAGAAAGCCAACACTGTTCAGAGAAACAATTTCCTAACACTCGTGTGGGCCTGGAGAAGGAAGGATAAACAGGAGCCCGCCTGGCTTGTGTGAGTCCTGGCTGAGGTCTTCATGCCTGGAGGACGGGGTGCCCAGGGGGCCTGCTCACCCAGGCAGGCACTGTGCCGGCCACACTCCAGGGGCTCAGACCAGCCCCCGTCCCTCAGGAGGAATGAATCCTAGAAGGGCTGGGGAGGAGAGGGAGGGAAACCAAGTGGGACCAGGGAAGATAAGAAAGCAGCCATGGCCACCGTGGGCTGCTTCTCTGTCCCTAGGGACCCTGGAGATCTTGGCTCTGGTAGGCATCTTTGCCGGGGCCTTTTATGAGGGTGAGAGAAACCAGATCTGCAACTGGGGAGTGGGGAACAGCCTCAGAGGCCCAGCCAGGCCGGCTGGGCAGCTCTCAGCCCAAAGACGGAAGCTGAAAAACTACCCCAACAGCCCCAGAGCAGGCTCGTTAACTGAGTAAGATCTCCGTTCCAGGTGGGTGGGTGGGTGGGCAAGGCCGATGGCTTCCTTTCTCCCAGGATGTCAGAACGTCCTCTTCAGTTAGTGATGATGAAAATACTATTAACAAGAGCTACTAATGATGGAACAAAAGACAGTTTACCTGCACTCACATTCAATCATCATAACAGATGTCGGAGGCTGGCACAATTTTCATCACCGTCTTACTGATGTGGAATATAGGCTCAGAGCAAGGTCAGTGACTTGGGCAAGGTCCCCTGGCTGTTGAACATGAGGCCAGGAGCCCTCCAGCAGCTCCGCCTGGCTGCAGAGCCTGTGCTGCAGAGCCTGTGCTGGTAGCCACTGTCCTCTGCTGCCACCCAGGACACCAGAGAGCTCAAGTCTAGATCCCAGGCCTGCCATCTCCACACTACAGGAGACACAGTCAAGGCTCCGAGTTTATAGTAAGCCACTCCAGTTTCCTGGCTTGTGCGAGCCCCATGGTGGGTCTCGTGTAGACCTGAGTGCTGGCTCACCTCAGGCACGTACCCTTCCCTGCTGGGAAGGGTGACAGCCAGTGTGCGCAAGAACCTAACTACTCATACTTGGTGCTCACTAAATGTCAGCTTTTGCTCCCCTCTCCTCTTTGGAGATCATACCTATAAAATTTGCCTGAAATACCTCACAGGACTGTTAGGAATAAAAATATGAATAATACATAAGAAAAACCATTATTGTCATTAAACCATCAGAGTACATTAACCCCTCTCGTCACTGCCCTTGGAAAGCAGGGTTCTGCTTAGACCACTGTGTATGCCTCCTCTGCTTTGAGACACACTGCCCCCCTCCAAGGGAGCCTGTTGTGAATCAAAGTGTCAGTTTAAGGGACAGCCTGCCCTGGCTGGGCTACTTGGGTGGAACAGGCAGTTTCAAGAAAGTGCTGGGTCAGGCTGGGCCATGATAGAATTAGCCAGGTCCTGCTAGGATTTCTTAGAGGAGTGGAGGAGAAGGGGACCTGGGCAAAGATGCCTGCCCAGCTTTGGAAGAGAACCCAGTGTGGGATTTGGGGTGGAGGAAGGGTGTGCTAGAGAGTATAGGGGGGTGGAGATAGAACAAGACGAAAATAACTCTGGGACATGGTGGACCAATTGCTACTTTGGAACAAAGCGGAGCAGGTGGCACCAGAGGCTAGGACTCCTACTCCAGCCACTGATACCATGTCCATCACAAAGCAGACCCACGCCTGAAGAACAGTCATTGGGCAATACCTACTCCTGAAGAATTTCCACTGAGGATGAGTCCAACAGCCTATCAGCGAGGAGTGAAAACACTGCTGAAGCTCTGTTTCAGGAAAAATTTTCCACAAGACAATATTCATAAAAAGCTCTTGGCAGAGGCCAAATACCCTTTTTTTAAAAAATTTATTTTTGGCTGCCTTGGGTCTTCATTACTGCGCACGGGCTTTCTCTAGTTGCAGCAAGTGGGGGCTACTCTTTGTTGCAGTGCGCGGGCTTCTCATTGCAATGGCTTCTCATTGTGGTGGCTTCTCTTGTTGTGGAGCACAGGCTCTAGGCATGCAGGCTTCAGTAGTTGCAGCATGAGGGCTCAGTTGTTGTGGTGCACGGGCTTAGCTGCTCCGTGGCATGTGGGATCTTCCCATGTGCCCATGTGCCCTGCATTGGCAGGATCTTCCCACGTGCCCTGCATTGGCAGGTAGATTCTTAACCACTGCACCACCAGGGAAGCCCCAGACCAACACCCTTTTAAACATGGGGTAGTGAGATAGTGAACAAGGGTTGAGTCTCCGAGAGTCATGGCCTAGCTTTGAAAAACGGAGGCAGAGTTTTCCCCAGAGTTGTCATTAACTCTGAAAGCAACATCTTCTTTTTGCCTCCTGAACCAAATGTTTCCAGTTTTCCCACAGTCTTCAACTTTGGTAGGTAAATAGCTCTCTGATGGTTGCTGTTGGCCCTCACTGGCTCTCATGGAACCAGGGCCAGCTAGAAACAGCACAGGAAAATGGATATTTTCCCATCTGTTGAAAATGAGATAATGTACCTGAAAGTGCTACGTAGAGTTAGACATCATGCAGACGAAAAATAGATGAGTTACTTAGGGTCGGGTTCAGTTGAAAATAACACAAAAATTCTAAAGAAGAGTGGCTTGAACAAAAAATTTATTTCCCTGGAGGTGGGAAGTCCAAGGAGAGTGTCAGCTCTTGGCCAACCTTAAAGTATATCTCTTTTCCTCATAGTCCAAAATGGCAGATAGAGCTCCAGCTATTTCATCTCCACCCCAGGCAGCAAAATGGATGAAAGGACAAAGAAGGACATGCCCGCTCTCTTTAAAGAAACCTCCTAGAAGCCCAACACAATGTTCCACTTACATCACATTAGCCAGAGTTTAGTCACATGGCTGCAACTAGCTGTAAGAGAAAATGAAGTCTTCTTTATCTGAGAATGAAGAAGTCTTTTGTCTGGGTGCATGGCTGCTGCACATAAAATCATAGTCTGTTACTGAGGAAGGAGAGGAGAATGGATATTGTGATAGAAAATAGTATCTCTGCCATAGTAATATTTTCAGAAGACCTTCTACCTAAATAGAATTTAAAGCTAGCATAGAATAAAAATGTCTTTGGTCAACGTGGCCTATTTCCCCTTTTTTCTGTATGCACATGCACCATGTTGTGCACACACACACACACACAGCTTTAAAATGACCCATTTAAAAACAGGTGCTGTCAGAACAGAAGCTTATTTGTACATAGCCAAAGGGACTGGTGGAGTCTCTAGGCCTCTGAAAGGTGGCCAGGTGCTTCCAGGGCCAGCAGCAGACAGTGACAGGAAGTGCATCCAGATCCCT